TCTCAGTTCCTCCCTCACTGCATGTAAGGCAGGGACAGAAGGGTGGGGGAAAGGCAAATGTGACCTTACACCACCTTTGCACTCCCTGTATTCTGGGACCTGTTTGGCTTCTGGTGTAATTAGAGTAGCCCTCAGGCTGCTCTAACTTGTGCTCTACTGCTTATGGGCCACAGGGAGCCAAGAATAGCCACAGTGCAGAGCACTCTAGCCATGTCCCTGATATGCCCCTATGCTGGGGACTGGAGGCAGGGCTGGTTTAGTGTCCTGGGACCATATTCACCTACTTTAAGGCTCCTTTATACTGCCAGACTGGCACTCAGGGGCCTTGGCATAACTGAGAATCAGGTTCTGAATATTTTAAACACCCGCACTTCCCGGTGTCAACATCTGAACCAGACGCTCAATGGTTTATTACGTGCAGTAACTTTTTTAAATGGTTCAGACACGTTGGGTTGTAGTAAGAGCTGGTCTGCAGGGGGAAGGTTCAGCAGTTAAACTACAGGGATGAATGTAAACTGATTTAGACTGGGGCAAACCCACAGTGGGGATGCCCCTATTTCAGTCTGAGTGGCTTATATAAGATTGAGCTTCTTATTAAATATTCGCAAAAAGAACAGGAGGACTTGTGGCACCTGAGAGTCTAACAAATTTATCTGAGCATAAGCTTTCGTGAGCTACAGCTCACTTCATGGGATGCATTCAGACAGGAATTCTGATGAAGTGAGCTGTAGCTCACGAAAGCTTATGCTCAGATAAATTTGTTAGTCTCTAAGGTGCCACAAGTCCTCCTTTTCTTTTTGCGAATACAGACTAACACGACTGCTACTCTGAAACCTGTCATTATTAAATATTATTGCCATTATTATTTGTAGGACCAGTGATGGAGCAGAATCCCACTGCGCTGGGTGCTGTACAAACACAGAACAAAGGGACAGTCCCTGCCCCCAAGGAGCTTACAATCTAAGTATAAGACAAGAGACAACTGCAGGCATGGGAGTACAAGAACAATATTGCTTAGCATGATAGGCTGTGGTCTCAGCAGCATTGTCAAGTTTTCTGTACCAAGCTCTTATACAGGTTTTCATCAGTCGAGCTCAAAGCGCTTTAAAAACTAGGTCAGTATCATGCCCCCCATTATACAGATGGGGAAATTGAGGCACAGAGAAGGGCAGTGACTTGCGCAAGGTCACCCAGCAGCAGAGCCGGGACTAGAACATAGGTCTCCTGCGTCCCAGTCTCTGTCCACTAGGCCACTGGGCCTCCCCAGTAAGCCGCCGTCAAACTGAAGTAAGAGCGTCCATACAGGGCTCTGCACCGATTTCACTACATTGGTTGTAAAACCCACTCTCGTGTAGCCACGTCCGAAGAATCCTAGCCGCATGCCCATGCAATGTGAGGCTATTTGATCCCAGGAAACGATGGGCCCCCATCCTGTTTGCACAGACCCCTGTGATGACATACCCTCAGTTTACAGCTCTGTTACTTTTACCAATGAGGCTTCCTCTCTGGGAGTTTTATGTTATTCCCTGCTCTGAAAACAGCCGTCCAGGTGCAGAGCTGAGCGTACTCAACATCCCTGCTAAAATAACGGGACCTTTGCCGTCCGCTGCTGCTGTGCCATCCATGTGGCGCCCGCGTGGATCATGCTAAGATCCCTGGAGCCTCTTTGGAGCCTGCAGATTAAAACGCCAAGATAGACTGACACGTTTAGTACAACTGGATCACTCCTGCTTGAGAGGCGAAGGCTGGGTAGGGCGCTAGCCTAGGAGGTGGGAGATCTGGGGTCAAGCTGCTGCTCTGCCACGGATTCTTTGCATGGCCCTTGGACACGTCACATCGTCTCCCTGCGTCTCAGCTCCTCCCAGCTGTACAATGCGGATTGTTGCCCTGCCTGGTGTATGGTAAAGACTGTGAGGTGCTCAGATATTAGGGTAACGTGGGGGCCAGTTAAACACCAGAGGTTACAACCTGTTATTGATCCGGTGTGTTATGAGATAGGGTACTGGACTGGGAGCAGGTGCGGCAGGTTTGTATAATTTTTGGTAGTGCCCAGAACGGGTCCAAGTCCTGCCCCCACCCCCGCATATTGTTGCACATAACAAAATTAATGGGGTGGAGCCGAGGGGTTTGGAGCATGGGAGGGGGCTCAGGGCTGGGTCAGAGGGTGGGTGTGGGGGGGGGCGGTGAAGGCTCTGGCTGGGGATGAGGGGTTTGGGGTGTGGGAGGGGCTCAGGACTAAGGCAGCGGGTTGGGGTGTGGGTTGGGACCGGGGATGAGGGGTTCACAGTACAGGAGGGGGTCAGGGCTGGGGCAGAGGGGGATGCTCGGGGCAGCAGGTGGGGCTGGGGGAGAGACCTGGCCCTGAACATTGGTGGATCCAGGCCCCCATGCCCTGAATTTGTTGGAGCAAGGGCACCATGGGCCCATATAACTCGCCGCCCCTGATCGGGAGAGCTGTTATTGGTGTGACGGTAGTGCTTAGAGACCCGGTTGTACAGGGTGCCGTACATCCAGGTAACAAGAGACAGTACCTGTCCCCAAGAACTCATCCCCGAAATAGACATAACATACAGGAGAGACAGAGAAGTGACTGGTCCAAGGTCGCCCAGCAGAACCAGGAAGAGAACCCTGACTCCCGTCTGCATTGCCACCTGGATTCTAGCTCTGGCTCTGACACTCACCCGGGTGCCTCAGTTTCCCATTCTGTAAAGCGCTTTGAGATCCACCGTTGAAAAACTCAGGGAAGTTGCTCAGAGTTGTCGTTTGATCCCTGGTTCAGCAGGGACCCTTGGCTGGATAATGCCAGCCACGGCACAGGGGATGCAGCCGGTGCGCTCGGAATGGGACAGGTCCCCTGGCTTGCACACTCTGACCCCTCCCTGGTCACCTCCTGGGTTGAGTGGCCTCTTCTCGCTAATCCAAGGAGTTTTTAATGCAGCTTGAGGGAAACTCCGGCCTCTGTCCCCCATGTTCCTGTGCAAGAAGCCCCAACCTCCTGCCCAGCCTGCAAATAAGGAAGTGGGGATAGTGTCGCTACAGTATGTATGAAGTATGAATACCTCACCCCCCCGTTTTGCACAGCTTCCAGAGTAACTGGGCGCGGGGGGAGGGGGGGGATTCAAGCATAAAGCAGGCATTTAGCCTACCGGGAGATGGGGGGTTCGCTGCCGCAAATGAAGCAAACTCGGGCTTGCAAAGGGTGGGGTGAATAGTTCACCCAATTAAGCATGGAAGTAGCAGCCATGCAAACCCTGCCGGGGGGGGGGGGGGGGGGCCGAGAGTAATTGCTGCAGCCTATGAATTATGCATCCGACATGCACGAAGCAATGAAGCATGCAGCCCTGGTGCACACATTGCAGGGAGGGATCATTGCAGCCTGTGGAGCACGGGGGTGGGGGGTCGTTGCAGCCCGGGGAGCAGGCAGCCCCTCCAGGCGGGGGAGGGGGTGGTGGTCGCAGCCCGGGGAGCAGGCAGCCCCTCCAGGCGGGGGGGGGGTGGTCGCAGCCCGGGGAGCAGGCAGCCCCTCCAGGCGGGGGAGGGGGGTGGTCGCAGCCCGGGGAGCAGGCAGCCCCTCCAGGCGGGGGGGGGTGGTCGCAGCCCGGGGAGCAGGCAGCCCTTCCAGGCGGGGGAGGGGGGGTGGTCGCAGCCCGGGGAGCAGGCAGCCCCTCCAGGCTGGGGGGGGGTGGTCGCAGCCCGGGGAGCAGGCAGCCCCTCCAGGCTGGGGGGGGTGGTCGCAGCCCGGGGAGCAGACAGCCCCTCCAGGCGGGGGAGGGGGGGGTGGTCGCAGCCCGGGGAGCAGGCAGCCCCTCCAGGCGGGGGGGGGGATCGCTGCAGCCCGGGGAGCAGGCAGCCCCTCCAGGCGGGGGAGGGGGGTGGTCGCAGCCCGGGGAGCAGGAAGCCCCTCCAGGCGGGGGGGGGGGGTGGTCGCAGCCCGGGGAGCAGGCAGCCCCTCCAGGCGGGGGGGGGGGGGTCGCAGCCCGGGGAGCAGGCAGCCCCTCCAGGCGGGGGGGGGGGGTCGCAGCCCGGGGAGCAGGCAGCCCCTCCAGGCGGGGGGGGGTGGTCGCAGCCCGGGGAGCAGGCAGCCCCTCCAGGCGGGGAGGGGGGGTGGTCGCAGCCCGGGGAGCAGGCAGCCCCTCCAGGCGGGGGAGGGGGGTGGTCGCAGCCCGGGAGCAGGCAGCCCCTCCAGGCGGGGGAGGGGGGGGTGGTCGCAGCCCGGGGAGCAGGCAGCCCCTCCAGGCGGGGGGAGGGGGGGGTGGTCGCAGCCCCGGGAGCAGGCAGCCCCTCCAGGCGGGGGAGGGGGGGTGGTCGCAGCCCGGGGAGCAGGCAGCCCCTCCAGGCGGGGGAGGGGGGTGGTCGCAGCCCGGGGAGCAGGCAGCCCCTCCAGGCGGGGGGTGGTCGCAGCCCGGGAGCAGGCGCCCCTCCAGGCGGAGGAGGGGGTGGTCGCAGCCCGGGAGCAGGCAGCCCCTCCAGGCGGGGGAGGGGGTGGTCGCAGCCCGGGAGCAGGCAGCCCCTCCAGGCGGGGGGTGGTCGCAGCCCGGGGAGCAGGCAGCCCCTCCAGGCGGGGGGGGGTCGCAGCCCGGGGAGCAGGCAGCCCCCTTCCCTCCATGTCTTTGCACCAGGCTCCTGCTCCTCCTTCCCCGGGGGCCGTGCAGGGAGCAGGACTCAGGAGGAGGCGTCACTTCCAGTGCGGGCTGCGCTGCTGTCACATCCGCCGCCGGCCGCTCGGAGCGAGGGGACGAGGCGCTGGCTGCGCCGGCCAAGGAGCCTGGAGCGCCCGGGAGCCGCGCCGCGCGCCGGGCCCAGCCTGCAGGGCCCCCGGGGGGATGCGGGGGGCCGCGCCCGGCTCCAGCTGCTCAGCGCGCCAGCGGGCCCGGGCCCGGTTCGGAGCGGGGCTCGGAGCGGGCAGCAGCGGCCCGGTTCGGAGTGGGGCCCGGGACCGGCTCTGAGCCCGGATGCTCCCCGCTCCGGAGCTTGCAGCGGATAAGGGAGCAAAGGTGCCCTGCCTAGCAGCCCCCAGCCCGATCCCCTGCAGCCCCCAGCCCGATCCTCTGTAGTCCCCAGCCCGATCCCCTGCAGCCCCCAGCCCGATCCCCTGCAGCCCCCAGCCCGATCCTCTGTAGTCCCCAGCCCGATCCCCTGCAGCCCCCAGCCCGATCCCCTGCAGCCCCCAGCCTGTCCCGGTGCAGCCCCCAGCCCGATCCCCTGTAGCCCCCAGCCCGATCCCCTGCAGCCCCCAGCCCGATCCTCTGTAGTCCCCAGCCCGATCCCCTGCAGCCCCCAGCCCGATCCTCTGTAGTCCCCAGCCCGATCCCACTGCAGCCCCCAGCCCGATCCCCTGCAGCCCCCAGCCCGATCCTCTGTAGTCCCCAGCCCGTCCCACTACAGCCCCCAGCCCGATCCCCTGCAGCCCCCAGCCCGTCCCGGTGCAGCCCCCAGCCCGATCTCCTGCAGCCCCCAGCCTGTCCCGGTGCAGCCCCCAGCCCGATCCCCTGCAGCCCCCAGCCCGATCCCCTGCAGCCCCCAGCCTGTCCCGGTGCAGCCCCCAGCCCGATCCCCTGCAGCCCCCAGCCCGTCCCGGTGCAGCCCCCAGCCCGATCCTCTGCAGCCCCCAGCCCGATCCTCTGTAGTCCCCAGCCTGTCCCGATGCAGCCCCCAGCCCGTCCCAGTGCAGCCCCCAGCCCACCTGGGAGCTGATTCAATCCCCCTGTATCGCCTCCCCCAGCTGCAATCACCTTCCCCCGCCCCCCAGTCCCATTAGAAGCTGATTTTCCCTGCGCCCCTTCTTTCCCTCTGCCCCAACTGCAGCCGTCCCCCCCCCCCCGCCCCGGCTGCTGGTGTCTTCCTCCCTCGGCTCCTTCAATATCTCCAGCTCTGAACTTGCCCTGCTCAGCGGGGCCCAAGGCGCCTGCAGGATGTGGGGGTGATTATGGGGGTGATTATCCCATTGTTCCAGCGTGCTGTTCGGGGGAGGGGGGGCCCTTTCCCGGCATTGACTTCTGCAAGGGCAGGGTTGCAGCCGACTTGTGTAAATCCAAACGCTGCCCCCCCCAACCCCCCAGTTAAGTTTGGAGTTAGATCCTTGGAGAGAGGGGCTAGTTTTGGTTTCTTTTAAGCAGTGGCAAGCCTCGGCGGTTGGTCCCTTCTTCTGCCCCCCAAATACTGTCTTCATACCGGGTGCTGGGAATAGAGATAAGTGTGTGTTTGTCGCATGGATACTTCCATGTATTTTGTAGCTCTGTAATGGTGCTGTGTCTGCAGTATAGATAAGTGTGTGTGTGTGTGTGGTGCCGATAAGTGTTAAGTGATAAGACTGGGCTGCACGAGTCTTGTGTGGGCAGGGGTGTGACACGAGTCTTGTGTGGGCCGGGGAGTGACTGTGTCTGTAAGAATCGTAGACTATCGGGGTCGGAAGGGACCTCAGGAGGCCACCTAGTCCCACCCCCTGCTCAAAGCAGGACCGATCCCCGACTAAATCATCCCAGCCAGGGCTTTGTCAAGCTGTGGTATCGAAAAATGTGTGTCTGCAGTGTAGACGGGGGTGTGTGTGTGTGTTTTCTAATCCGCGTGTCTGTAGAGTAGACAGGTGTGGGCGTGAGCCTGTGCTGCAAACGTGTGCGTGTGTTTCTACCCTGCATGTGTCTATAGCGCGCACAGGTGTGTGCCTGTAATACAGGTCATTGGGTGTGTGAGCATGCCCTCTGGTGTTGTCTCGTGCGTGTGTCCGTGAAAAGCGAGCAAACATTCGCGTTTGTGTGTGCGTCTCTGTGTGTGCCTGTCATGCATGCAACGGGGTCGTGCGGCCGCACGTGTGTCTAATGGCACATGTGTAGGGGGCATCTGTCATGTCTGCGTGGCAGACACCTGTCCAGTGTGGACAGGTGTGTTTCTCTGTGTGGTGTGTCTCTGATGTACCATTAGAGGGGAGCAGCTGTTCTGCTGAGTAGCTGCACAAAGCACAAATATCCCAGCCGGAGGGAAGAATTAAATGGAAGGAAGTGCGCCTCTGATCCTGGGACCTATTCTTTTTTGGGGGGGGGGGGGCTGAATAGATTATTTTCCATCTCCCTCCTGCCCCCCATCAGCTTGTGTTGGGAGGCAGGGGGAAGTCACAATCCTGCTTTTTCCTACACTGGCCTAAATCCCGAGGACCTCCATTGATTTGAGCACAGCTACTCAGGATTTACACTGGGGTGAGATCAGAATTTGGCCCTTAATGTAAAACAAGCCCCAGATTGGGGGGGGGGGAGGGAGGGTGTGTGTGTAATCCAGTTATTCTGGGAGTGGGGGGGATCCAGTTATTCGGGATAGAAATATTTCCATATAAGCCTTCTATTTCACAGGCCTCTCTTTCCTTCCACCCTTTCCTCTTCTTTCCCCGCCTGCGGAAGCAGCTGGAGTAGAATTCCTCGGGGTCTAGGCTAGTTTAACATTCCTCAGACCGGAGGCTCTGCCCAAACTTGCAGAAACCGCTTTGGTGTGTGTGTTAAATTCTGTCTCCTGGCTGTGAGCATATGCTGCAGAATCGCTGCCCCGTGCGTGGGGCGTTGTGTAATTTCTGGAGTGGATGTGGTGCTGCGCGACGATGCATAGGATGATAGCACACGCAACATGCTAGCCCCATGTCCGTCGTCTGAGCTCTGTGTGTGTGTGTGGGGGGGCAGGGAATCTGTCAACCGGATTGCAGGATCATGGCCATGGTGGGCATTGTGTCTTGTGTGTGGGGTTTGAGGCGCAGGAGGTGTTCGCGTGTGTTGGTGATCCGTGTGCGTTGGTCAGAGTGTGGCTTTGGTAGGTGAGTGGTATGAACTGCATGTGGTTTTTGGTGTGTTGTGCGGCTGTGCTGTGTGGGGGTTTTGGTGGCAGGCGTATGTTGGGTGGGTGAATTATGTGTCAGCAGAGTATGGCATGGGGGTGGTTTTTTGTGGCTTTTGGTGATGGATGTGTGTTGTGTGGGCATACTGTGTGTGATTTATAGTGAGTGTTGTATGTTGCGTGGGTGGTTTGTGTGTGGTTTTCGATGAGGTGAATGTACTGTGTGGGTGTTCATTTGTGTGGTTTTTGATGAGAGTATGTGTTGTGTGGGTGTGTATTGTGTGTTGTGTTTTGTGGGATTTGGAGTGAGGATGGTATATTTTGTGTGTGTCTATTGTGTATTTTCCAGCAAAGGGGTTGTATTGTGTAGGTATAAAGTGTGTATTTTCGGTGAGGTGATGGGTGTTATGTGTTTTTCAAAGAAGAGTGCGTATTGTGTGTGTTTTTCTGGGGCGGGGTGTGTGAATTGTGTGGTTGTGTGCTGAGTAGCTTTCGGAGCGTGGGCTGGGATGCTCTTTTTTGCCAGGTTGCACTACCCGTGGTTTCTCATCAACCCCTTGTCCATCCCCCTTCGGTCCTAGGGCGTTGCCGACCGGTGCGGACGGACAGAGGGTGGCCGACCTTACCTTGACCGGCGCCGGGGTGCGCAGCAGACGCCTGGCCCGTTGGTCGTGACGGCCGCCATGGCGAGGGCAGGCTGAGGAGACGGGTGGTGACCAGGCCGGATCTGCTGGTTTTTTAAAAAAATTCCTTTTGATTTTGTTCGTTAAATCGAAAAATAAACTGAACTCCGTGCTCGGTGCTTTCTCCGCCGCCATGAACGGACTGTCGGTGAGTGAGCTGTGCTGTCTCTTCTGCTGCCCGCCCTGCCCCAGCCGGATAGCGGCCAAACTGGCCTTCCTCCCCCCGGAGCCTACTTACGCCATGGTCCCCGAGCCAGAGCCCGTGGGCAGCACCAGCTCTCTGAGAGGAGGCACCGCGGGGCGATGGAAGCTGCATTTGACGGACCGGGCGGATTTCCAGTACGCCCAGCGGGAGCTGGACACCATTGAGGTGTTCCTAACCAAGAGTGGCCGGGGGAACCGGGTCGGCTGCATGTATATCCGGTGTGTGCCTGGCGCTAGGTGAGTGGCAAGCTGCGGACGGGTCTGGGAGCTGAACCCTCTTTGCAGAGCAGGGGGTAGGATTCCCGACTCAGTTGGGCCAAGGGTCTGATCCCCTCCTGCAGGTCCTCTGTCCGTGACACCTTGTAGGGAGAGTGCCATCCTGCGCCAATGCAGCTCCGACATGGTGCCACTTCCTGGCCTGCAGCGACCCGGTGCCAGATCGGGCACCTTCCCAAGCGAGATGCCCAGTCACAGAGATTTGGAGACGCCCGGGCAAATGCTCACTGCGGGTTGGCTGTCAAAACCTGTTTTGCTCATACCTAGAATTGGGGATGGAATCAAACAAAAAGATCAAAGGGGAGGGAGGTAGTAAAGTCACAGTGCTTGGGGCATGGAATCCTGGGTACCATTCCCAGCCCTGCCGCTGACCCGGACACCTGGGTTCCGTTCCCAGCCCTGCCGCTGACCCGGACACCTGGGTTCCGTTCCCAGCCCTGCTGCTGACCTGGGTTCCGTTCTCAGCCTTGCTACTGACCTTGAGCAAGTTGCTTCCCCTGCTCTGTGACTCAGTTTCCCCCATCTGTAGAATGAGGGGAATGGCGCTATGCTGGGGGGTGGGTTGTGCCGCTTAATTAGCTGATAGTTGTGAAGTGCTGTGAGATCCGCCAATGGATGCTGCTGGTGCAGGGCAGAGGGTTATTGAATAATAATGGCGAGGCTGAATGCAGGCGAATGGGTGAGGTGTGCTGCGCTGGGAGTGTCCAGGCTGCCTGTGGGGACCCTGCCCCTTTGCCGGAGACATTCACAGCTCGTATGGGGGCCCTGGGGACTGCTCCCAGGCTCCCAAGGATGCGTTGCCAGGTGAGGCCTTGTTGCCCATCTCTGATTGGCCACTATTCCCTCACCTGAGCCTAGGGCCTGGGCTCCAGCTTGCTGGCACCTTGGTTCAGGTGGCAGAGCTGGGGGCAGTGAGGGGTGGGGTGAGTGGTAGCTTTATTTATGGACTGTGGACCAGCGCTGGCTCCTTTCTGTGTCTCTGCCCGCAACTGATCTTCAGCCCCACTCCCCTGCCCCACTCAGTGGGCTGGGCTCATTAGTCTCGTTAGCTGAGTCTGGGGTTTCTAGGCCCTGACTCGCACCTGGAACCCCAGCCGCTCTCCTGAGCTAGGAGTGCCAGTGGGATCACATCCCCTCCCCCGAGACCTCTGTGCCCCTCACACCCCCAACACCCCTCCCCAAGTCTCTGTGTCCCACATGCCATGATTTGTGAGACCCCACACTTGCTCAGGCATCTGCCCTGGTGTGTCTTCCTCCCCATTCTCACCCTGCTGCCGGAGGGCATCGGTCCATGAGCTGCTCAGGTTTCACGGTTCCTCCCAAGAGTGCGTGTCCCCAATCCAGCAGCCACGTCTCCCTCCCTTCCGTGCTGCCCCACTCCTTCCCGCTGCCTTCGGTGTGCGCGGGTTGGGCCTTGATAAACCAAAGCAGGGTCCCTCGCAGGTGCTGCGCTAGAATCACAGCTGTGGCAGGACGGGCATCGAGAAGACCCTCTCTGCTACCAGCGGGGAGCATATAAGGAGGCCAATGAGCCCCACAGAATGTCAGTTTCAATTAACCCTTTCCCTTCCCTCTCCAGGCCCACCCTCACCCCACGGACACTACATAGCCTTTCCCTAGCCCTGGCGAAGGGCTGGGGCTGCCTTCTCCTCAGGGCAGGCGTCTGTTCGGTACCTCTCCATCCGCTGGATATGCGGGGGTGGGTCTCAGCCCAGTGGCTGGTTGGTGTCCACGACGGAAGAGCCACGATTGGATCACCTGGCCAACTGTGCCGCAGTTTGGCCAAGGACCGACCAGGCTGTGATCCCAGTGCTAGCCCTTGCAAGTCAGTCCGGGCCCATGGCTGGGGTGGGCTGTGGATGTACTGTGCAGAGGGGCCGTTGCTCTCCAGCGCCGTTGACCTCAAAGAATCAATCCTGAAGCACTTGCATGAGAGGAAAGTGATCAGGAACAGCCAGCATGGATTCACCAAGGGAAGGTCATGCCTGACTAATCGCCTTTTATGATGAGATTACTGGTTCTGTGGATGAAGGGAAAGCAGTGGATGTATTGTTTCTTGACTTTAGCAAAGCTTTTGACACGGTCTCCCACAGTATTCTTGTCAGCAAGTTAAGGAAGTATGGGCTGGATGAATGCACTATAAGGTGGGTAGAAAGCTGGCTAGATTGTCGGGCTCAACGGGTAGTGATCAATGGCTCCATGTCTAGTTGGCAGACGGTGTCAAGTGGAGTGCCCCAGGGGTCGGTCCTGGGGCCGGTTTTGTTCAATATCTTCATAAATGATCTGGAGGATGGTGTAGATTGCACTCTCAGCAAATTTGCGGATGATACTAAACTGGGAGGAGTGGTAGATACGCTGGAGGGCAGGGATAGGATACAGAAGGACCTAGACAAATTGGAGGATTGGGCCAAAAGAAATCTGATGAGGTTCAATAAGGATAAGTGCAGGGTCCTGCACTTAGGACGGAAGAATCCAATGCACCGCTACAGACTAGGGGCCGAATGGCTAGGCAGCAGTTCTGCGGAAAAGGACCTAGGGGTGACAGTGGATGAGAAGCTGGATATGAGTCAGCAGTGTGCCCTTGTTGCCAAGAAGGCCAATGGCATTTTGGGATGTATAAGTAGGGGTATAGCAAGCAGATCGAGGGACGTGATCGTTCCCCTCTATTCGACATTGGTGAGGCCTCATCTGGAGTACTGTGTCCAGTTTTGGGCCCCACACTTCAAGAAGGATGTGGATAAATTGGGGAGAGTCCAGCGAAGGGCAACAAAAATGATTAGGGGTCTAGAACACATGACTTATGAGGAGAGGCTGAGGGAGCTGGGATTGTTTAGCCTGCAGAAGAGAAGAATGAGGGGGGATTTGATCGCTGCTTTCAACTACCTGAAAGGGGGTTCCAAAGAGGATGGCTCTAGACTGTTCTCAATGGTAGCAGATGACAGAACGAGGAGTAATGGTCTCAAGTTGCAGTGGGGGAGGTTTAGATTGGATATTAGGAAAAACTTTTTCACTAAGAGGGTGGTGAAACACTGGAATGCGTTACCTAGGGAGGTGGTAGAATCTCCTTTCTTAGAGGTTTTTAAGGTCAGGCTTGACAAAGCCCTGGCTGGGATGATTTAACTGGGAATTGGCCCTGCTTCGAGCAGGGGGTTGGTCTAGATGACCTTCTGGGGTCCCTTCCAACCCTGATATTCTATGATTCTATGATAGTCCACGGGTGCTTCCCAACCTGTTCTGTCTCGGGGTCCCGCTCCCACTAAGCCAGGATTCCCTTCCCACGTAGCAATGCAGGGTGGGCAGGGGTATTGTGACCCTCAAGATGAGAACTCACGACTCAGGGCAACTGGTGGTTTCCATCTCCAGGTGCCCAGCCTGAGACGGCTGGGGAGTGCTGGGCACCCAGGACCCCAGCTGGCATCATTGAGCTCTGCGGCTGCTCACCACCTCTGAAAAGGACACCCATGGGCTGATGTCCTGGCCCTGCGGAAGCCAGTGGGAGTTTTGCCATCGACTTCAATTGAGCCGGGATATAGATTCATAGAGTTAAAGCCAGAAGGGACCATTAGAACATCTTGTCTGACCTCATGTGTATCACAGGCTAGAGAATTGCACCCAGTTACCCAAGTATTGAGCCAAATCACTCGTGTTTGGCTAAAGCAGTGGTTTTCAACCTGGGATCCATGGGCCCCTGGGGATCCACAGACTATGGGGGTCTGCACCTCCATTCAAAATATTTTAGGGGCCCGCAACTGAAAAAAAGTTTAAAACCCCTGGGCTAAAGCGTCTTGCAGAATTCTAGATTTGGGTCTAGGGTCTAGATTTGAAGACAGCCAGAGGTGAGACTCCCTCCTCCTGATAGCTCGTTCCAGTGGTTGATCACTAGGCTTCCCTAGGTGTTTGAAGTTGTGATAATAGAAGCCAACAGAGTCAGGGGCTGCTTTGGCAAATTTGGGTCTAAAATGTTAGAGATTTTATTTCTAAATAGGAAAAAAACCAAAACAACAAAGCCAGAAGAGATTTAAAGTCACAAATATGATATATTTATTTCCTACTTCACCCCTTCTATTTGATCTGCGATCATAGATTCAAGGCCAGTTGGGACCACTTTGGATTATCTACTCTGACCTCCTGCGTAACACAGGCCAGGGAACTGCCCCAAAATAATTCCTAGAGCAGGTCTTGCAGAAAAAGATCCAATCTTGGTTTGAAAACTCAGTGATGGAAAATCCACCATGACTCTTGGTAAATTGTTCCAATTGTTAATTACGCTCACCGTTAAAAATGTATGCCTTATTTCCAGTTTGAGTTTGTCTAGCTTCAACTTGCAGCCATTGGATCGGGTTGGACCTTTCTCTGTAGATTGAAGAGCCCATTATTAAATATTTGTTCCCTGTGAATAACATCTTAACACGTAGAGACCTAGATCTTTGCTCTCAACCCGCCTTGCAGGGCAGAATAATCCCGAGATGGATGGAGGGCGTCTCAAATACTTAACTTACCTTCTACATGCCCGGGCTAGCAACTATTCGTCATGGGCAAGTGAAATATCACTAGTTCCCCATCTGCACCCCATGATTCTGTGCTTTTTAGGTTCTTATTCCTTGCCCATCACTTGCCTTTCTGATCATCTTGGAGAGCGTTTATTGTGTGTCTTACAAAGTGGCACCCAGAGACACAGTTATGCCGGGTGCTGTTGATTTTGTGCCGGGGCAGGTACATTTTGCTAGGCTGCTTGGGGCTGATATTGTGCCACTCTTATCCAAGGCTCCATGCTCCCCCCTGTAGGCTGGGGTGGAACTTGTCTGGCCCACTCCTAAACCTCCAAAAAGTGGTGGCGGCTCCCAACACCCGGCAGTGACAGCTGGGGAAGGGCAGACCAGGGAGCAGCACCGAGGCCTCCTCACGTTGTGTGTGCCCTGCCCTAGAGTCTGCTGTTCATCCTGCCTGCGGTTAGGGCTTGC